AAATAAGAAATAGAATAAGCAAAGAACGAATAAAAGTATAACATTTATAAAACAAATAAAACACGTTCCCATCACAAATCATATTGTTCCAAAGTTTTAAAAGGCCCAAAGAATACATTGTGTCCCTAATGAAATACTCAAAGACACAAGAATTTAAACATGAACATGTGGGAGCCTCCGAATGATTTAAATGCATCCTGATAAACCTTGAGCAGGGCCGTGCAGAGACCTTTGAAGGGGCGGGTACTCAAAGTAAAAAAAAAAAAAAGGGGCACACATAGATCAAATTTTTTAAACAGATTTACGATCCAACCAGTTTGAAAATTCAGAAAATGACATCCTTGGGTTCAAACAACAATATAAACTAGGAAAAATATGTAATTTAGTGTCATTACTTGAAAGCAATGTTAGTTCAGAAATAATTGTTTTAGTTTTTAAAGCTGACTTATATCTAGAGATGTTACAACCACATTTTTGTCCAAGTTGTTTGATTTTTGATTATCTTCCAATACTGAGTCCTGTTCCGATGCAATGCATTACAAAAGGAAGATAATGGAAGAACACACAAGTTGTCCTTGTGTCAGTATTTGTTATTTCACTCATTTAGCCTTAAAAGCCACTCATTCAGGAAGTACATCGAACAGTAATCAAGATTCTAAATAATTTGTCATTGCACAAGCGTACAACAACACTGACTTTGCGCTCACTAGACAGCTCATGTAAGAGGTGGTAAAATATGAGTCAAATAACATAAATAGAATAAATGCAACCCTGTGAAGTTATCCAGTGTGATCTGCAGCTATGGTAGCTGGGGTCTTTTCCTGTCTGTAGGAAATTCCTGATCCAATTCCATGATCTCATTCTGAACTTCACCCTAAACCTGAGAGCTCTGCTACCAACCCAACATCATCCTTTACACAATATCAGACTGAATGCCACCTTCTCTCCTTATGAGGGCACGCACGCACGCACGCACGCACGCACGCACACACGCACACACACACACACACACACACACACACACACACACACACACCTCTGAGATCACATCAGAACTTTAGCTATGTCTGCAACTTCTTTCAAACTCTGCTCAGGACGTTGTGGATCGGTGGGCAGAATACTTCGAAGACCTCCTCAATCCCACGTCTTCCAGTGAGGAAGCAGAGTCTGGGGACTTTGGGTTGGCCTCTCAAATCTCTGGTGCTGAGGTCACTGAGGTGGTTAAAAAGCTCCTCTGTGGCAAGGCTCCAGGGGTGGATGAGATCCGCCCGGAGTTCCTTAAGGATCTGGATGTCGTGGGGCTGCATTGGCTGACGCGGCTCTGCAGTATTGCGTGGACATCGGGGCAGTTCCACTGGACTGGCAGACCTGGGTGATGGTCTCCTTATTTAAAAAGGGGGACGGCAGGGTGTGTTCCAGCTACAGGGGGATCACACTCCTGAGCCTTCCTGGTAAGGTCTATTCAGGGGTTCTGGAGAGGAGGGTCCATCGGATTGTTGAACCTCAGATTCAGGAGGAGCTACGTGGTTTTGGTCCTGGCCGTGGAACACTGGACCAGCTCTATACCCTTAGGGGGATCCTGGAGGGTGCGTGGGAATTTGCCCAACCAGTCTACATGTGTTTTGTGGATTTGACCGCGTCCCTCGGGGGGCCGTGTGGGGGGTACTCCGGGAGTATGGGGTACCAGGCCCTCTGATATGGGCTGTTAGGTCCCGGTATGACCGATGTCAGAGCATGGTCCGCATCGCCGGCAGTAAGTCGGGCTCGTTCCCAGTGAGAGTTGGACTCCGCCAAGGCTGCCCTTTGTCACCGATTCTGTTCATGACCTTTATAGACAGGATTTCTAGGCACAGCCATGGTGTGGAGGGCATCAGGTCTCTGCTTTTTGCAGATGATGTGGTCCCGTTGGCTTCATCAGAACGTGATCATCAGCTTTCTCTGGAGCGGTTCGCAGCCGAGTGTGAAGCAGCTAGGATGAGAATCAGCTCCTCCAAATCTGAGACCATGGTCTTGATTCAGAAAAGGGTAGAATGCCTTCTCCGGGTCAGGGATGAGGTCCTGCCCCAAGTGGAGGAGTTTAAATATCTCGGGGTCTTGTTCAATTGTGTGATGTATGAGCATCAATTTATGAACTATAGGCCAATTTCATTGCTTCCACAATTTTCCAAGATTCTTGAAAAATTGTTTAATAACTGACTCGAAATATTTTTGAATAAATACAAGATAATATCAGACTGTCAGTATGGATTTAGACCGAATAGTTCAACATCACTAGCTCTGGTGCATTCTGTGGAAGAAATTACAACGTCAATTGATCAGAAGAAACATGTTCTAGGGATATTTATTGATTTAAAAAAGGCTTTTGATACGGTTAATCATAAAATGTTACTTGAAAAGGTAGAGAGGTATGGGGTTAGGGGTGTAGTGTTGAGCTGGTTGACAAGCTATGTACAAAAGAGGAGACAGTTTGTGAAATTTGGAGAATGTTCATCTTCATGGTTGGACATTGTTTGTGGAGTACCGCAGGGGTCTGTGTTGGGTCCAAAATTATTTTTATTATATATATTAATGATTTGAGTAATGTAACAAATACACTGACATTTGTTTTGTTTGCCGATGATACCACTATTTTCTGTGCAGGAGATAATATTAGCGACTTAGAAAGGATGGTCCAAATTGAAATGTGCGTCATTAAGGAGTGGTTTGTTGAAAATAGGCTTACATTAAATATAGCGAAAACAAAATGTATGCTGTTTGGTATGGCTAATAAAACTGAGGTTAAGCTGTAAATAGATGGATGTGAAATTGAGCAAGTAACAGAACATAAGTTCCTTGGAATAATAATTGATAATAAATTAAGTTGGAAACCACAAATTAAACATGTATATAATAAGGTTGCGAGAAGCATCTACATTATGAATAAAGCTCGGCAGTATTTGTATTATAAATCACTCCATGTCCATTATTATTCATTGATTTATCCCTATCTTATTTACTGTGTAGAGGTATGGGGTAACACTTATAAAACATCTATTGTACCCTTGTCTATCATACAGAAAAGAGCCCTGAGAGACGTTCACAATGTTAGATTTAGAGAACACACTAATCCGTTATTTATATATTCTGAAATACTAAAATTTAAAGATTTACTTCAACTATATACAGCGACGTTCACGTTTAATGTGCATAGGAAATTATTACCAAACACATTATTAATGCTATTTATAAAACCAGATAACCTATATAATTTCAGATACAATCTTAATTTTAGGCACACATATTTTAGAACAACATTAAAGTCATTTTGTATTTCTGTTACGGGTGTAAGAGTTTGGAATAAGCTCAGTGGGGTTCTAAAGCAAAGTCCCTCATTGCATAAGTCTAAAGAGAAGTATAAAAAAATTATACTAATTAAATACATGGAGGAGGAGGAAAAGTTGTAAGGGTGTTGCATTTGATTGTAATTGTCTATTGTTGGTGAACTGGGAGCTGTGAATATTGTGTTAATAGGCAACGTAAAAGCAGAGTTATACTAAACTAAATAACCTATTTTTAGACAATCTGATAACTTGTCAAAACATCAGTTTAGTATTACGTGAGAGGGAATGTGCTTGTGAACATAAAAACCCCACAAAAACATGAGATCCTTTTGCTGTTGGTGGACGTCTTACATGATCAGTTGATAAAAAGCATCATTATGTAGCTGAGAGAGAGGAAGGCCGCACGAGAAACGAGATGTGCGCAAAAAGGAGCCGCTTTGCGGGGAAAGGAGTGGCACGAACAGAGTAACAACAATTAGACAGATGTTGACGGTAAACTTCATATTTTGGAGCGATCCGGACAGATATATCGTCGCTGCAGTTTAGTAGGCTTTTATTTGGCTTATATAAAGGATGATGATAAGGATAAATGTCCACCAGGCAGTTCAGATAGTACGGCTGTTTTTTGAACCGGAAGCAGAGGAAGGGGACGGAGACTCACAGCCAGAGTCTGAGGCAAATAGCGAGGATGTTGATGACGATGTGGCAGATCCATCCTTCCTCCTAGAAGAGTTGGGTCATGATGAGGTAGAGGATGAGGGCAGAGATCCAGCTCCTCGGAGATCCAACATAAGGGGTGGGCGGCGCCGCGCAGCTGTCAGAGCCACTCCCCATTCCAAAATGCATGTACATTATTGCCTAATGAATAAAATAAGTATAAATTCAAAAAGTCCAGGTTGTGCTGAAAAGATTGATGCCACATACGGCAGTAGTAATGGTTTTTATTTTGGAAATACAAAGGAAAACTCTAAATTGGTCAAAAACGGCAAATTACACCCTGGACCTCAGAGGGCTAAGGAGAGCCCAGCCACATGGCAGAGAAAACCAATTTTGGCCGCTTGTATCTGTGATCTTATTTTTTGGCCACTATCAAAAGCTCGAGACCATACGTGTGGGAATGTACATAGATCGACTGGTAAATCGAGAGATTTGCCTTCTGGCTCGACTCTCTCTTCATCAGGACAGACCAGTACAACGCCCGCATCGCTGCAGACGCAGCACCGATTCGCCAGTCGAGCACCATGTCCATCTTTCCCTCACTCGTGAACAAGACCCAGAGATACTTAAACTCCTCCACTTGGAGCAGGACCTCATCCCTGACCCGGAGAAGGCATTCTTCCCTTTTTCAAACCAAGACCATGGTCGGGGATATTAAGCATTAAAAAACTATTCAATAAGGTTTTAACAACTGCTTAAGCATATGTAATGCATCACTAAGCAGACCCCCCCAGGTCTTCACTGTTAACAATGACAGCAACATTAATACAGGGACCCTTTTTGTAAAGTGTTACCAACCACAAACTCTGCCCCACGACTGAGATCTGTCTATGGGTCGTGGCCAGGCTATATATTCACTAGGGATGTGTAATGGTGAAATTCTGGCGATACAATACGTATTACGATACAGGGGAGACGATACAATATATCACGATATATTGCGATACATTCAGTCAGACGATATTGGCGATTTTTTTAGACTAAATTTATTATAGGAAATTCAATAAACAGTCCAAACTGATACTTAACATGTTTAACCATAACAGAGGGATTTACATTTCAATGGTAGAAACAAACCCATTACACACTGCTGCCAACTAGTGGCCGGCGTTTGAATTGCACCACAAGAAAAGAAAATACACAAATGTTTCCATGTAAATTCTTCCAAAAATTAGATACACGACTTTTGAATATCGATACATGTTTGCAAGAAAAAAATCACGATATATTGCGATATCAATATTTTCGATATACAGCTTTTGAATATCGATATAATATCGCTGGGGAAAATATCACAATATATTGCCATAATCGACATTTTCTTACATCCCTAATATTCACATGTATAGAATGGCTTGCCAGGCTAGTATGAAACCATTTTTGCTCACAGTCAAAGCTAAGTGAGAGCTTTCAGGTACATTCTAATCACATATCAAAAGTATATGTTCGCCTTTAAAATAATAATTTAAAAACATCTGCAAAAATTACCATCATGTATCAAATCTAAAATATGATAGACCTTTCTCTGTACAGTAAAAATGCATTTATAGAAAATAAATCTATGTGAGACTGTAACATTAAAGCAGAAATTATCACTCTGTCAAGCAAACGAGTCACCGTTCGTATCACAGCTTCTCTCAGCAGCACCAATCTTTACAGAACTTTAACCTCTGAAAACAACTTGACGCCGTTAAAAAACAACTACTCATCAGGTGCAGTAATACTATTTCATTCTAACAAAACACAACATGTGATCCTGTGTTTCTTAGCATTAATAAACTTTACTGTATGTAAATAATTCCCAGCCAGGTAAATGCACCAGATCTCACAACAGCAGCCTCATGAATCAGGAAAAAACCATCAGACTGGGAGGCGTCAGTATTTACACCAGGTGGTCTCAGAAAAGACAGGTGGACGACAAACCAAACGTTTCTGGGCGACGGTGGCACAGGAGTTAAGTGCTCGCCCCGTAATCGGAAGGTTGCAGGTTTGAGCCCCGCTCAGTCTGTCGCTGTCGTTGTGTCCTTGGGCAAGACACTTAACCCACCTTGCCTGCTGGTGGTGGTCGGAGGGACCGGTGGCGCCAGTGCTCGGCAGCCTAACCTCTGTCAGTGCGCCCCAGGGCAGCTGTGGCTACATCGTAGCTCATCACCACCAGTGTGTGAATGTGTGTGTGAATGGGTGAATGACTGATTGTGTTGTAAAGCGCCTTGGGGGGTTCCAGGACTCTAGAAGGCGCTATATCAAATTCAGGCCATTTACCATTTTTACCATTTACAAATGTCAAAATTCAGGACTATTACCAACGTCATTTAGCCCTTTTCGATATTTAAAACAAATAAAAAGATGCATGTTGGCAATGATCGTGCATCTTTAGGAGGCTGTGCTATGGGCCAGATGTGCTGGATTCCAGGCTTGGATCCATCTTTAAGCAAAATTGTAACCATCTGAGCTCTTCATCAGTTATGGGTCAAAAAGTACAAGACTGCTCAGAATCTTTAAATCACTGTAATTAGGGATGCACCGATACCGGTACCGGTAAAAGTTAACCGATACCAATGCAGTTGCCTGAAAGTGGCTTCACTGTAACTTGTCATTTCTATTAATGTGTGTAATTTTTTATCTACCTCACAGTATTTTCCTGTTGAAGGCAGAGGAGAAAATAAAACCTGCATTTCAATTCTTTACAATTTTTTGTGTGGAAGAAGAATCGGTATCGGTGAGCACTCAGATCCAAGTATCGGTTTGGAAAAAAGTGGTATTGTTGCATCCCTAACTGTAATGATTCAGTAAAACTCCATTATATTTGTGGAAAATCAAGAAACAGACCTTTAAGTGCCTAAAAAAATCCAGTTCAAGCACCAGAATATTTAGACGACACCAACTGACCATAGAGTTCTGACACATTTTATATTTTGCTCTAATGGTGTTTTTATTTTAATCATACTTTAAAACAAGCAGCAGGATATCAGCAGTTGATCTGTTGTGTTTTGTGCAGAAACTAAAGATTATTTCAAATTTGCAACGAAATAAGCACAGCAGGTGTACAGTATGTACATGTCTGCACGTTTCTAGTTGCTAAAACCTGAGATTATTTTATTTTATTATTTGTTGTTTATTTTTCAGTTTTCCCTCTGAGGCGTTGGCACCTTGTTGTGGTCTGGGGGTTTACATGCCTCAGTGACTAAGAGCTGCACCTGCAGAAGCTCAGCCTGCAGGTGGGACACCATCGCAGGACAGGTCTTAGGGTCATAATATGGAATAATAATACATTTTATTCATAAAGTGCTGTTACAGACACTCAAAGACCGTGTAAAAAAGTCTAGATAAAACAGGCAGATTCTGCAATAACAAAATTAGACTTTAAAACTTTGAATGTGATGCGCTGAGTGAGAGGAAGCCAGTGGAGGCCTTGAAGAGACTTATGGGCCATTCCCATCTGTACCGGGTCGGCCCGGGCCGGGTAGCCCCAGTCGGCCCCAGCCTGGCCCGGTTGATTCCACACATCCTTGTCTTAAGCCCATGTGGGCTGATTCTACCCACCAATCAGAGGCTTGCTCTAATGGAAGGTGTGAATTTGCTGTCAGCAGTGGGTGTGTTGGCCCTGGTCGGCCTGAAGCAGACCCCCTCGAGAAGAGGGCTGAGAATGAGCCTTGGTTGGCCCGGGAAAATTCCAGGCCACCCAGATATGTAAACAACCTACGCTACCCGGCCCGGGCCGACCCGGTACAGATGGGAATGGGGCTAAATATAATGTGGTCAAAACAATTGGTTAGGAGATGGGAAGTTCGCTGAGGGTTTTAGGTGGGGTACCATATAAGATGCTACTATGGTAGTTGATGTGTGATGCGATGAATGCATGAATAAAGGTCTGCAGTGCAATCACGTGACAAAAATATCCAGAGCGCCTCCACCACCAACACACGCCTTTTCCTCCTCCGTCACTACAATGTGCCCCCTTCACATTTCTGTTAGTCCCCTCAAATATGCCTGTCTAGAACCAGCCTTGGTGTGATTGTAAGGTTATAATCTGGAATAAAAATTATTTGGTGTCTCCGCTTTAAGCCTGTCCTGAAATGATGGCCTTCACCCATCCTCAGCTTTCCTTCCTTGCACCGCGCTGTAAATTCACAGACTCACGTAAATGTCGAGATGAATCGTAAGCCTGGGACTTTGGCCGAGATTCATTCATTGGCACAAAGATGGATGCCATCAAGGAGAGAGTGGACGAATCAGCACGGATTGGGATAGATTAATGTCCATTATTGGGATTCTGAGAGGTTGAGGACCAAGGAACTGTAAGACAGAGAGGAAATTATCTCTGTCTGGCCCCAAAACAATTTCTAATTGGAATCTGGCGTCCTTGAGCCTGCAAGGCTCCAACGAAAACTTCCCCTCAGAAGATATGTGGAATGTGCCGTCGCTATGGTAACTCAACTCTGTCTCCTATCCCAGCCTAGGCGGGACTGCGGGAAGGCCGCTGAAACGTCCAGGGTCACTGCAACCCTCCAACCCTCAATGCTCCTCCCCCTATCCACACTGAGGTGACATGCGCTGCTTATCGTGGCTGCAGGAACTGAAGTGGGGATAGTCCCAACCCACCACCCCACCTAGTGGACACTTATGTTGTGTTGTCTGAAGTCTGTTGCATTTCTGTCTGAGGTGTGTTTTTGCAGAGCAAAGCTGCCCTCCTGGTGGAGGGTAACTCTGAAGTGCCTTTTTTTCCCTCCACCTGAACCAATCCTCATGTAACCCTCTGATTTCTATTAAGGTAGCGCGACTCAGGGTTGCGAATGACCACAGTCACCAATTCTTGTCATGTGTCTTGCCCATGTATGTCTGATCTCTGAATTGTGTGTACTGAAACTCTAATTTCCCTCTGGTATTAATAAAGTATCTTTGATTGATTGATTGATTGATTGATTCAGGCAGAAGATTGAGCAGCTGTGGAACAAGCCTACAGAACAGCTTCTGACCCTCAGACTGACTTCTGTGGTTTGCTACTTCAGTTTGATTTGATGTGTTTATTGAAGATTTATTAATTTAAGGTTGAATTTACTCATTTTCCTTTCATATCAAAAATATTACCAAACAGACTAAAAGTGAATTTGAGAACAGACGGCACTAGGCTTTACCGTACAACAGCAAACCTACAAGCCGGGTGTGTTGCTTGACAATATGGAAGCAGCTTCTTCTTTATGGAAGGGTGAGTCAACAGCGGAGATGTGCTAACAGTTTGTTCTGTTGGTCCGAGTGTCAGCAACCAGGGTGATTGTGCAGTTCGCTTCTTCCTCTGCTGGTACGTAGAGCTTACAGAGGGAGCTCTGAAGGAAGGAGGAAGCAACAGCAACACAGAAGGTTAATCTTAAAGGCAAACACAAACCATTCTGGTTATTGGGATTAAAATCTGCAACATTTGAACAAAAACCACACCACAAAAAATAAAGTGTTGAGAAACGTTACCTCATCTTTGTTTTCACAAATATCACTGAGGAGATCATGGGGGGACAAGACTTTGGGGAAAATCTTGTCCTGATTCCTGGACACCAATGATAAGAGGTAAACAGACTAACACACAGCTAGAGCATTTCTGAAGACACCAGTTCATCTACTGTCTGATATTCTAATGTCCACTTTGGCATGATAATCAGAGA